AAAAATACGCAGTGTAGCCATCGACTTGTAGTCCAGGAACAAATAATACATATTTTTGTGGGCTTGTAGCCCACTGACAAAAACAATGATTTTTCGGGTACGTTCGTAGATTTTCTCAAAACGGTTTCAGCATGTACCTGGAATAATGTACAATAGCATGAAACAGGACCGGGGTTTAATTTTAGTTTACCTGGTGCTAATGAAATTGCAATTAGAAAGTGAGGTTCATCTGGATCCAACTTTTCACGAAATATCGAATCATTCATATGGTCATAATCATCATCATCACCACCACCTGGCTTTACTGCATTTGTCAAACCTATCATTGGTGCTGGTTCGCATCGTGCTGGTGCATCAGTTGTTACACCTGCCACTGGCGTGTTTGGATCACCAGAATCTGTTTCCAGAGTTGCTGTCGGATTGGTTAAGCCTACTGCCGGAAGGATTGAGCCACCAGTAAAGTTTTGACGTACTCCACTGGCTACGATGATGAAGAGTTTTGGCTTCCCAGCCAAAGATGGACATTTAGTTGTTTTAAATGCATCCGTAACCTCCTTAATTTCAAGATACTCGGAATCAGAACCATATATTTTGCCCCTATCACCATGAGTTGTAATGGCCGATACAAAAATGCTCGAATTTTTATTGATTTTATTTGCAGTGTCTTGAGCAACTGTTCGAATTTCATCAGCTTTCAAATCCTCGTATGCTACCACATCGAAGCCAAATTGTTTCCACGCTTGTTTCAAATTTTCAAAGTCTATATGAGAACCTCTTCGTAAATCCAATGTAACCCCTTCTTTAGTTGTGCCATGAAAATGTTGGACATTAATGATTAACGCAGTACCATATGGTGGGTTCATATCGTATCGCGGGGCTGGTTCAAAAGGGCAGCCTGGAAGTGAATCTGTGGCTAAATAAAAATACAAATTGCGGACACTGCAAAAATTGACAAGGATGAAACTTCATTAATTCAATAATTACAAGCAGTGAATAAAGAATAAACAATAGATATCATTATCATAGTATTCAAATATTCTTTTTAAAGGCCCTTTGGCAAAAATCAAATGCTGCGCTGCAATTGTAGTGCAGCACAGCATGCAGCAACCATTCCCTTTTGTAATGAGACAACCGTTGTATATTAGTACTGCAACATTGCTGCCTCATGAAACATGATATATATATTGGAAAATAGATAAGAAAAGCCATTAAAGCGATAATTGAAAAATGATGATTCAAAGGAATTAATTTTAATGACAGTGTAAACAGCATGCATCTAGTGTAATTTACTATAAGATTCACCTGCAACTGAGCCATCCATCAAAGCAAATTTTCTTTACTGATTTGCACCTGTTTTCGTGAATTAAAAAATAAAATTAGATTAAGGAAAACATATCAAGTATCCCATAACTTTGATAATCCTCTGTTCATATAAGTGACTGACTAGCTCGTGCAACTAGGCTTGCAGTTTCTTTAAAGTCTCAAGGCTGGCTTATTTCCAGTTGTTAGTTCATTTCAAAACACTTCCTTTCGAAGATGAAACTTTTTTTGCATCTATATAATTAATTGACTTTTATATGCAATTTTTGAGATTTTCTAAAACGAAAAACCCCTGTAACGGAAAATGAAACAACTACAGTATGCTGTAATTATTGACAATATACTATGTGCCGAGACAGGGCATTTTCAATATCCATGTCTCTAAAATTTTTTAAATAGTAATTCGCGTCATTATTTGCGGTCCACAATTCCAGGTTTGTAACGTAAATGGAGGCTACCGATTGCCTGATAACAGGTCCTTATATATAGCCGCACCCAGTTGCAGCACTGGACGTGAACATTTTAACCTAAAAAGAGGGCTATAAACAGGCTTATCGAGTGAAAATGGGGGGGGGGGCAGTGCTTCCACAACTGCTTGTTCAAAAATCTTTTTACAATCTCCAAAATTCCTTTTTTCCCAAAAATTTCGTTGCCGTCCAAACGGTGGAAAAGATGAAGGAAATTCTGGCAAATTTGAGGCAAATGTATCATAGACCCTACAAGAAATCGAGTATCATTACATTTCCTGAAATTTGGGGCAAACTTTCAAGAGTTCCCTCCATGAAAGTATCAGCTCCACATATATGTTTATGTTCATTCAGGGGCGTAGGGTGCTTGATAATGGTGGAAGGGCGAATGGCACAAGGCGCTGAACAACAAATTTTGTAATTTATAGTCTCTAGATCGCCGGAAATGGCATTTTCAGATTCTTCTGTACCTCTTTTGTTAGGCCTATACTATTTATAAGTTCATTTTTACTGGTTTAGGTGGTTTTAGACTTGTAACTGGTATAAGTTACAGAAATCCTTGCAATTTCCTTTAATTTTTATATTTATCCTTGCCATTTCCTTGTGCATTGCCTTTCCTTGTAAATTTCTTGCAAGGACCAATATTTCCTTGCTGCAGGGAAAAATCATTGCAAGTGAAAGCACTGGGGGGGGGGGGGGGTTGTGGGAAATGTGAAAGTTTTGTCGGAAATTTTGGAGGCTTTGCCCCCCCCTACCGGAAAAAGTGAATTTACGTCACTGGTGGTGGAACACCATGCACCACTCGTCAGTTAGTCGCAAATTGTTTTCGCAGTTGGCAAAACGTGAACTGGATATGAAGGGATCAAAATAAAATATTTGAGTAAAATTTATGAAAACTGAAACATTTGCTTAAAATTGGGCAAATTTAGAGAAACAATAAGGAAAACGTTAAGGAGAAATGTTGATGCTCTCCCATTTTAATATTTGTCCGGCACCAGTTCAAGCAGCTGTGAAAATTTTGACACATCATATTTTTAAAACAATTGATCCCACTTTGTAAACACCGCGAACAGAAAGTCAAATAGCATTGTTCTAGGAACCCTGAGCCACGTTCTTCTAACGAAAAATAGGAAAAAGAGCATTTTACCAGAAACTTTTTATGATTTTTGAGCAACTTTCTTTGCAGAAACTATGTCTGGAAATTTTTTCCCCAAGTCACCAAAAATTCTGGGAAAATTTAATGTCAAAGAAAAATTATTTTATAAGGACAATGACTCGGATAATTTCACACCCGCCAATAAAATAAGTTGAGCGCCATGCCCGGTCGCATTCCGCCGTTGTAACTATCCAACGAATTTACACTACTCCCTGATAATACTACAACGGCAATTGTAACTGAAGATAAGGCAACGTATATCCCTTAAATATAAATTGTCTTCTAAGGAGTGTTGTCGACAAAACGAAAGTTAAGGCTGACCAATTAGAAATCAAAGAATATATTGAGATAACATCAAATACTTTTAAGAAATTCTTCTAGCCATAAGCTAGACCTCAATCACATTCAAAGAGGCACGCTTCGTAGCTGTTGAAGTAGATATGGCATCTGAGGACCAAACAAGGTAAATTCAACATCAAGTAGCCAATATATTTTGAAGTCACCATCGACCTATTCCAGAATCGCAATCTACGCCTCCAAGAGCAAGTCCAAATTGTGAAAGGCGGTAAGACACAATTACTAAGGGAAAGTTCGTTATTTATGGAATTATGGGCTGGATGAGGGCTGTTGATTTACCAGATTTGACTAGGAGAACTAAAGGACCCGCACTCTTTCATCACATACGGTAAAAAAATTCAACACCTCCGTTTTGCAAGAAATCGAAAAATGTACACCCCCCATCCATCATTTTTATAATTAAAGAAAAAGCTGGTTGCTTCATATGAAGAAACGTAGTTCATCTTGCGCTGCCGAATCAATCTGAAATAAAAAGCCAGTAAAATATAAACATAAAAATTAGCCTGTATAGGTGGCATTCTGTTTGGAGGGAGGTATCATGTAACTTTCAGATTGAAAGGATTGTGCAGAAGATTGGAGTTCCTCTCACATCCCATTCTTCTGTGTTCGATTTCAAATACAAGCCTCACTAAACACATGTCACCATCCCCTCAAACAGTGGCATGGGAAGATATTTTGAGTTTAGAGGAGCTTGTGGAGGCCAAAATTAAAGCTAAGGGGTCTCGTGACATGCTCCCCCTTGAAAATTTCAAAAATCGCAGATCGGAAATGCCATTTCTCGCAATTTCTGGCGCAAAATTTTAGTGACTTTCCAGAGGACATCTTAAAATATTTAGACCCCCTGTTACAACGATAAAAATATAGACGACCCCTTATCTTTTCATCAGCTCCCCCAACCCGTAAATAATAAAACTTCCCTAGACAAGAAATGTCAACCGTTCGGGGAATAATGCAACATAAAGGAAAGCCTATGCGGGAAATTTCATTAACGCAGGCAATTTTATAGCGTAAATAGCCCAACGAACCGCATGTAATCATACAAGAATCAACAGGTTGGATATAGCAAGCTTTAGCTGGCATATAGCAAGCATTGATTTGGCCATATTAATGAATTATTGAAAGGTCAAGCTTTTTCCGTATCCCATAGCTATAGCGTAGGAATATTAATATTAGACTTTCTCTGTTCAGGTTTCGACTGAATTTAGAAACCTAAAAAACTAGCTTGAAATATCAGGAAGAGTTTCCTCCAAAGCATTAACAGCCATATTTTTATGAGAACATATACGCAGGCAAAATTTTTGTTGACATTTGAATTACGTAATTACTTCCGTCAACGAGAATGACCAAATGAATGGGAATTAAGCCGAAGTTTTTTCGGTCAAAAACTCCCGCCCGCACTAAACGCCTGCTACGCAGGCTAAGTTATTACTAGCTTTCGATCCATAATCCTGCACGGAATCTTTGCCGAGGAAAAGAATTAAATAAACATGTCCACAAAACAAAACAAAACAATTATTTCTATTTTCATCATTCAAACCCACACGTTCAAGGACCTCATTGTGGTTTATTACAATGGCATCAAGATAATGAAATATATTTAAAAACACAATTCACTAACTATTGGAAAAACAAGCATGATGTGTGATAGCGACTATCTTTCTATTTCCATATTACGGCAATTAGAAATATTTCGAAAAGTTCGGTGTTTTAAAAATATATTTAGCTTTGGCGTAATTGCCTGAATATCTACGAAGTCTTAACTTCTGCGCATCAGAATATTGCAGCATGGGCATGTCCATGAAAACAGGAGAGTTTACTGTAATGGAAACGACCTGTTTATACTGCAAATTAATTCTAGGCAGAAAGACCTGTTTATACTGCAAATTAAGTTGCTGTGCAAATTTTCTAGCTTTTCTTTTTTCGTTCTGTACATATTTTAGTTTCATTAAATATGCAAATGAAGTAAACCTATGACATTATACAAGCTAGTTTTATTTAGTTTCAAAGGTGGCATTCAGTCTCGTCAAAGGTTCAAAAATGATGAAATCATTCAAGCTACACTCTGAAAACAGGTGTGTTATATTAGACATCAAGGTATGTTTTATTGTACACCACGGTGTGTAGGTTTTACACACCTTCGTACATAATCCTAGAAAACACATTTTTGTGTGTTCGACAACATACTTCCTATTAATTAATTTCTAAAAACACATTTTCACAGTGGCATAGCCAGCGCCATATTTTTGGATCCGGAAAGTCGAAGCGAAAGCCAAATGCGTGATACCTGCTAGGGGGTCTGGGGCATGTTCCCACGGAAAATTTTTGAAACCTGGAGTCCCTGAAATGCTATTTCGAGGAGTTATGGGGTGAAATTTTGAAGAATTCCGATGATTATAAAGTACATCAAAGACATGATTTTTAAGATCTCAAAATCGTACCTTTTCCCAGACATTTGATTTCGGAATTAAATGAGTTCGAAAAGTCACCTTGAAAAACTGGAGGAGGGGTCCGTGTCACCTTATTTCCCCTCTGTGATTCTGGGAGGAAAGACCCGCTTAATTTT